GCTCAGTTCAGTGCAACACCGGAAGCTGGAGGGAAATACTTCCGGGGAAGTCGCTGTCACAAATAGGCAGATGAAAATTCTGAATTACCTCAATGAAACGGCTTTGGCAGCGGCAGGTATTGTTTCGGACATCGATGAATCCGGTAGTTTCATATAGAGCTCTAAATGACAGCCTTTTTCTTGTTTTAGTAAGCTAAGTAGTAGTTAAATTAGCCGCTGAGTTAAGGGTGGCGGTGGCTGCCATAGCAACCGCTACTGAAACACTAGGCTAGTTGTTTGTTGTTAGCTTCTGTGTTAGCCTTTAACATGACGTCGAACAGACTTCAGTTTCTAATTTCGCGATAGTCAGTCAGTCGGTGTCAGTCGACAATGTTGTCTCTTGTTGCGTTTGTTTATATTTCTCCGTTTTAACCTCGCTCGTCGATGTTTAACAAGCTGTCTATGATGTCAGACTGTGTGGTTGTGGAGTTGAGTTTAGCTAACTTGGTAATTTCCACGACATCCAGTGAGCTAACGCTAGCCACCGAGGCCGTTAACTTCAGGTACCTCACTGTCGCCGTTACATAAACGCTGTCAACAATATGGACTTCAGATTAAATGACCACAGAAGCACAGAAATTTTAGATAATCTAAACTAAACTATGAGTTTAAAGCTTATTTGAAGTGTGTTGTGTTTAGTGATGTCTTTGAATGGTATGTCAGAATCGAACATAACTTAGCTAATGTTCTGTTTTCTGGTCATATTTAACCCATATAAGGTTTACATATGGGCATGGTTAGCATTAGAAGCTAATGCTGTAGTTAATATCGATGTCCAAAATGTATAGGCTCTAAAACCACCCGAATATGTTGGTTATATACTAAACTTAAGAAAGTTTATTTATGTTTGATTGTCTGTTTGTGGTTATAAGTATCAGTTGTAGTGTTCAAAGTGCCTGATTCAGTCTTTCTAGCATTTGAAAACATACCAGTTTCTAAACTTGCAAAATCCTAAATTTTCAGAGTTAGAAACTTTCCATGGAAGGGGATTTTAATTACATTTAGGGATTTTCCCCCCTTAATTCCCCCTCTCAATTAAAAATTTATTTCAGTAGTTTATCTCTTACGAGAGGTACTCCACCCTAAAAAAATTAATAAATAAACTGGTTGGATTTGAAAAAGATGGAAATAGTATCATGCAAAACCTTTAGTGAGTTTTGTAGTTTTGTTAAGTGCAGTTTACTGAAATTTTGTTTTTATGTAAATAAAATTGCAAAAATAATGGTCAAATGACATGTAAATAGCATGGTTCAGAGTAGTGTGAATGAAATTAGACATTTCTGTAATTTTTGTCTATTTTATTGATTTTATTTTTGTGATAGGTTTTTGTTTTGTTTTCATGTGAATCCAAAGATAAAAATAGAAAAGTGGTCTACATGAATTAAAAAAACAATTACATCAGTAACAAAAAATAACTTCAGAAATGTTGAAAATGTATTGTTTTCTGAAAGTTGTGTTGTTGTGACATAGTCATGTTTTAATTCGCAAATTAGGGCATTAAATTGGTTACTTAAATTAAGTCAAACATATTAATTGTTTCTGACATTATACGCTAGTGACCAAACAAAATGTTCATATTTTTGTTTGGATATTATAAAAAAATTAATCCTGAATGTCCAATTAATTCCCATAATTCCCATGGGAAGTTTCCTATTTGAAATATTTCCAAATTTCCTTATTTTAACTTCTTATGGAAAGTTTCCAGAAATGTATTAAAATGTTTCTTCCCTGTTGCAGCTCTGCCTGCACCTATGTTCTCATTAGATAAATTAAGTTTTGAGTTCCATTGCACTAATAAGTGCGTGAGAAATAACTCACCCCCTGAATTAAATGTAGTTTCAGAATCCTTGAACTAGTATGGATGTAGATGACTGTAATGGCCGATCCTACATATCAGGTAAATTTTGTTTTTAATGGCCGATACATTTGGTTTTTGAAGTTAAGAGTATTGTTCCAATGTTCCTCATCTTTGTGGTTTCAGGCAGTGGAGACTCCTCATTGGAAAGAGAGTTTTCTGGGGCCTTTGGAGGCGCAACAGTGAGCACCCCAAACAGCAAGGAGAACTCTCCAAGTCGTTCCCTCAGTGGTGAGTGTGAAATTAAAAGCCACCTTTTCTGTTTTAGGATACTTCCATGGACCTGTCTGTTAATCTTGCAGTGAACTGTTTCACATAAAAGTATTGAACTTGATACATTAAGTGGGATTTACATCTAGACTACCCTCATAACTAATGGCAGGCTTTCTCCATGTGTGCCTCTGTAGCCAACTGTATTAAAGTGGAGCTGTACAGCGATGAAGACTTAGGTCGTGGTCAAGAGGATGAAAAGACGGAGCGGGCAGAGGAAGGAGGTCCAGGGCAGGAATCAGAGTCTGGAGGAGGCTACAGGGAGCTCACTAATCCTGAAGTCATGCCAGCTGGAGCCACCAGACTACCAAATGGAAAGCTCAAGTGTGACATCTGTGGAATGATCTGCATCGGTCCTAATGTTCTTATGGTGCACAAACGCAGCCACACAGGTGACTCTTTGGTTACCTTCAGATAAATAATTTCACTAAAAAGATGTCTTAAATTTTTATTTGTAAATAACTTGAATTGGAATTAGAAAATGTGCACAAATTTTAAACTCTTTCTAAGCCGGTGAACACAACCGGACTACATAACTTGACAATAATAATAATAATAATCATAATAATAATAATAATAATAATATAATAATAATAGAATTCAAGCTTCTCTTTTGTTTTGAAAGACTTTAAGTGCCCTGGTAATTTTTACTATATCGGTGCTGATTTTACTAATTTAACTGTGTGGTTTTATTGTGTTTTTGCAATGAGTTATTATTTCATGTGTTCAGCACTTTGTTTCAGCAGTGGCTGATGTTATAGCGCTTTATAAATAAAGTTTGATGATGATGATAATGTCACAATACCTGTTTTATGATTCCATGTATTGTAAAGGTGAGCTGACACATTTGACCTATCCGCAGGGGAGCGACCATTTCAGTGCAATCAGTGTGGCGCCTCTTTCACTCAAAAGGGTAACCTGCTCCGCCACATCAAGCTGCACTCGGGCGAGAAGCCTTTCAAATGTCCTTTTTGCAGCTATGCATGTCGAAGGCGAGATGCCCTTACTGGCCATTTACGCACTCATGCAGGTGAGACAGATTTCAGCTAGACGAGTGTTTGTGGTTTTCTCTAGTAGAGGAGTATGTTTAAAATAATAACATTTTCTTGTCTGCAGTGTCTTCTCCAACTGTAGGGAAGCCATATAAATGCAGTTATTGCGGCCGTAGTTACAAGCAGCAGAGCACGCTGGAGGAGCACCGCGAGCGTTGCCATGGSTACTTACAAAGTCTGGAGTCACAATCACTGAATAATGCACAAAATATAGGTAAAGTATAGATCTTTTCTTGTTTGTTTTTCTACAGCATGGTGTCACATCAATATCCACCCCCCCCCCCCCCCCAAAAAAAAAATTGGACAAACATCAAAATTAGAAATGAGTGTTCGTCCTTAATGAGGTGATGCACAAAATCCTCCTCTTTAGTTGTAGTTTTAAACGCTGGTTTAGAAATTCTGCTTGAACACTTAGAAAAGAAAGAAAGGAAGAAAGAAAGGACAAAAAAGGAAAAGAAACATAACAGTGTGTTTGTACTCTGTCCAGGAGAGGAGATGAGAGAGCTAGAGTTTGTACCAGACTCTCTTCCGCAGCCCTCCTCAGACAAGATGGCATTTATTGATCGGCTCGCCAACAGCATCACCAAACGCAAAAGATCCACACCACAAAAATTTGTAGGTGAGCATTTAGTGTCAGTGTGGATGGGTTTAGGAAATTAACAAAAACATCCATTGTAACACCTCACAAGTTAGAAAAAAATGGAGGAAAACCTTTGCTTTATCAACAATATTACTATCATTGAGATCTACACAATGAATGCAAACGTTTTGGTAAGCTGAGTATTTATCTGAGCCAGCTTCATAACTAAATACATTTTGATTCTACACTACAGTAAGATCTGTCGCCTCTGTGTTGCAGGGCAAAAGCATATCCGCCTCAACTTTCCGGATGGACCTTATGAGCTGACAGCTGATTTGGATAAAGGTGAAGACCTTCAAGCAGGGGACCTTGAAGCACCACATTTTACTGGCCTTGGAGAATACACAACAGGTGTAGCAGGTAATAAAGGAGGGGCGTCTGACAAACATAGGCCTCTCCATCTTCCCGCCACTCACGCTCCTTGTTTGACTGAACTCAGGCCGATCCACAGCTCCACTCATACTTCTATTGCTTTAGGCCCAAGGTTGGATTGCACAGGGGCGGGGCTGGGGGCTGTAGGAGGAAGGGAGGCTGCCGAGGGTCACGAGGACCTGCCTACTGGTCGAAGTCATGCAGCTTCACCTAGCAATGGTTGCCAGGACTCTACGGACACAGAAAGCATGCCGGATGAGCTGTGTAACAGCACTGCTACCATTCCAGCGTTGCACAGTAACAACGGGCATCACCTTTTTCACTCCAACAGCCACGTGACGAGACCTCCTCCTACCTTTCGCCACAGAAGTCGGGACAGACACAGCCCCAGCTATTCCAAAGACCACGAAGTGGAAAGAGAAGACGGGGGACACTCGGCCCTCCCACCTCCTGCCTTTGCTCCGACCTCTAGCTCACCTACAGCCCCCTCCTCCACTTCCAAGGAGGCCTATCGGGTCGTCGACGGGGAGGGCCGAGCTGTGCGTTCCTTCCGCTGTGAGCACTGCCGTGTGCTTTTCCTGGACCACGTCATGTTCACCATCCACATGGGCTGCCACGGTTTCCGACAGCCGTTCGAGTGTAACATCTGCGGTTACCGCAGCCAGGACCGATATGAATTTTCTTCACACATTGTCCGTGGAGAGCACATCATTGATTGAAGCTAAAAGTTGGACAGGTTGCTTTACTTAGAGCTTATTTTCACTTAAGCAAGGACCTGGCTAGATTTGTTCTGCATATGAGCTAAAGGGGACACTGAGAGTACAAACCCAACATATACATTAGCAATCAAAACATCCAATTTTTACAATTCTAATGTAGTAACAGTGGCTTTAATTGTTTTGACTATCAGATACATTTGACGTTCTGTTTTGATCAAGTATTTCCTGGAGCAAGTGAACTTCTTTATCCACAGATGTGCCTTGCACAAAAATTCAGGATTCAAACTGCATGCACAGAATACAGCAGTAAAATCAGACTTATATTCATAACTTTGGTCTATATTACATAAAGCCAAAAATGGTTTGTAAATTTACCTACAGTGAACTATAAGCAGGTTTATGTGTCCTATTTCAAAATTAACTCTAAAAAAATGTTAGCAGACCTTGAATTTCCTAACATTTTTCAACTTAGGGTTAATCTCAGACTGTCAGTCAATTCTAATTATGTAAAGTGCAGATCAAAATCAAAACCCAGGTTCATATTAGTTACACTTAAATGTTTGAGGGGTGTGGTGTCTGTGAATTAGAAATGCACTTTGATTTTTAAAATGAAGGGATCTATATATGTGTGAGAATCTGAGGAATTATTATTATTATTATTATTATTATTTTTTTTTTTTGAAAATGAAAGCCTTGCTTGTGTTGATGCCATGTGGGATAGTGTATGGAATGAATTTTTCTTTGATAGCTTTTGTTGCACTGATTCCTGCCAGAATTCAACAATTAAATTAAACTACTTTATAGAATAAGTTAATGATCTGCACATCTCTAAAAGTGAGGAAACACTGGTGGGTTGTTCTGCTCTAAACGGTCCAGAAATCACTGCCAGGGTTCTAAGAGTATGTAGTGTTTTGTTTTCAAACATACATTAAATAATAGTGCATCACTAATATCTAAAATATTTATTTTTGCTAGATTTAAAATTATTATAGTGTTCTGTAATTGTATTGTGCCTTTATTCACTTTATTTCCCAGACTGGAGCTGCCAGCCTTCATGTCTTAAAACAGATCTTTGTTGGTGACATTCAAGGTCAAATCAGCTGGCTTGTAGTTTTACAGTAAAGAAGAAAAAAATACAAGATGCCCAAGAATGGCTGTCCTCTAAAGTTAAATTATAAACACTTTTTTTTCCCTCCAATAAAGGCATTTCAGTCTTAGCCATTCATCTTGTTGTAGTAGTCATCTGTGATCCATCTTGTTTTGGTTATTCATGCAGAAATTTGCTTTGTCACTTTACACACTTTTTGCTTTCTATTGTATTTTTTCTTTACATAACATCAGATTTTATTTATGTATTGCTGTCCAGAAGACAGAGTTGGACCTTTATTAAGCCAGGATCACAGATGTAGTTACAAGAATTGTTACCTCTTGTTTAACTTGATTGCGGATGAGATTATTTTCCATCTTGTACCAGGTATTAGCAGTAGTAAGGAGAAGTTACACAGAGAGTAAAAACTTACTATTTTCTTTGACAGACATGTTGTAAAAATTATTTCAATAGAGCAAATGATGGAAATTATTGAAATGATCAGCTGACTTGAGCCCTTTTAGCTTTTGTGTAGTACAATGATTTGCTTTCCTTTTTAACTTTAGTTGAATTTTAGATTGTTTCATCTTAAAACATTTAAAATATTAACTAAATTGAAATAACTCAGCTGTGTATGGCTCTAAATGAATATTAGTGGTTGTGTTATTGTTGTGAACACTTCCTTGTTTTGTCCTACTGAACTGTTTTCACCTGATGGTTCAGGCTTTATTAGATGTATGGATGTGCAGAAGTTCCCATATATTTATTAAACAGAGGAAAAAATAGGATCGATTTTTAAATTAAGAGTATGGTTCAGTTCATCAAATTTTCTTGTAGTTGAGCCAAAGACTCACTATTAAGCACGTTCCCTGGTTAATTGGCAGAAAAGAAAATTAAAATGTACATGTAAAAGTTTAATTTGAATAAAGCTGATTTTTATTTAAAAAATTGATTTTAAAGCCCTTTGGATCCACTTCATCTCTTTAAAATGTGTTGTAAATACCTCAGAAAATGTTCTTGCATCAGAAATTTAATTTGTGCTCTTGAATTTTACACTATAACAATTGTATAAATTTTCTGGTACAAATTTCAGTTGAAGAATAAAAGGTTTGCCTAACGAAGTTGAAACTTGTGATGTCTTAAAAATTAGCTTTAATCTGATCAAAAACATTTTCTGATGTCAATTAGAGGCAACTTTCAAAATTAACTGGTTTGTACAAGAAAAATGCTTTGACTACTGACCCTGTGTTCCTATTGAAATCCTTTGTTCGATTTGTGTACAGTTCTGTGCCTTTCGTTGGTATTTCTAATCAGCTGTAGTTCTTTACTATGTAAACTTGAATGGTCATGAAGCGGAGTACTAAAAATGGTTTTGCCTAACCTCTAGTTGTTTAACTCCCAACCTGGTTTTCAATTAATATTCAAACTATATTCATGTTGACCAAGAGGACACAAGAAAATAAAAAAACTGATGCCTATAATTTACCCTTTATGAAATATTGTATAAAAACATTACTTTGCAACCAGTTTCTTGAGCAACTTGACACAGGTTAAAAGTTCTGCATTGTATTGTGGGATGATAATTCATTATGAATATTGATGTGCTTAACATGATAAATGTACCAAAGCCATTTTCCTCCAGCCAACACCTGATTATCTTTGTACTGATCTTAAAGAGGAAAAAAAAACTCCAGTTGAAGATTATACTTTAAAAATTTCCAAGCTTTGTGATGTTTTCTTCTGTGCATTATGTCTCCTACTGTTTTGGTAGCTTTAAAAGCCTCACATTTGTCTAATACTGCTTTAAATAACAGCAAAGCCTTTCTTAATATATGTAATTATGCATTTGCGTAATTTCATCCTTAGCTGCTGTGAGTTTTGTACTGTTAAAGTCCACTTCAAATAAAAAAAATGTGACTAACTTTTTGTTCTTCCATTCAACCACAAAATAAGAGAATTAACCACAGGAGTTGTAAAGACTGTTTTTATTTTCTATTTAAGGTGTACAGCATCTTCAGATTCTGCTTTACATGGGTTTGGGAGTATTTCTTGGTGCACCAGCCTGTGTTAAAAAAAAGAAGAAGTTTACATTAATATATGTTTCAGACTGCAGACTTATGTGACAAATGTTCTGAGTTCAACACCATTTGACAGGACATTAGGGATAATCTGAAGGGTTAATACTCACAGTGGGCCTGAATCTTGGTGGTGGGGTTCGATCCTTCCGGGCCTCACAGGAGCGGTTTCTCACTACCTTGCTGTGGATAGCACAGCTGACACAATAGTGCAGCTTCACGTAGAGCTTGGGCAGGACATATGCTGCAGAGTGGAGAAGAATGTGGGTCAAGACACCAAAATGCTAGGATAGTACTTGTGATACGGCACAATAGATTCAAACAACTGAAGCTGTTGCACATGCAATGGATTTAAATCTGAAGCTTCAGAGAGAAACACCTGCACAATCATCACAGCTTGTTTTAAACTTTTAATTAAACCCATCAAAGAGATGTACGTTGGATTCTTAACTTCCTAGATTTTTTTCAATATTTATGAATATTGTTGAAGCTTTAAGTGCATTGGTACAGAATTACACACTTACAGTCAAAAACACTGGCCTCTGAGATGTCTCTCACGGCGGCTGCCTCCACAATGTTCCTGATGACAAACTTTTTAATGGCCTTGTCCTTTGGGACGCAGCGGGCACAGTTGGTGCAGCGAATGGGCTGCACATGCCCACGGCCCTTCTTGGCACGACCGTTATTCCTCCTCTTCTTTGTCTGTAAAATGAGTGTTTCTTTTAATGCTATATTCAAACATGTGATTTAAGTTGCATTTTGAAGGGGGTATACTTGGACAATAATCATTAGCAATACCTAAGTACACATTTTTAAAATAATACATTTATGAAGATGCAGGGCCAAGAGTGTCAACAGCAATACATTTAAAAAAGCTGATGATTTTGATTAAAATTCAAAAAGTTTAATAAAAAATTATTCAAGTGGATTAATGTTTTCTAGCTTTGTGTTAAAATTGATCTAAATAATATTAATCAAGGCAGTGGAAAGTGGTGGTGTTTCCTAAAAACGGACACCAAAGGCAACATAAACTGTAACCATCACATTATATGTTCCACTGACTGTCATGCAACACGATTAAATTAATTATTTCACCACATTAAATCCAACACTTTGCTGCATTTCTACAAACTGATTGATGGATAAGTGCTCAAGCGGTTTCGGTGTCTTGAACCAAGAGCCATTACAAGATACACGATAACACTATTTAACAAATGCAGCTCTGTCGAATTTACTGGAATATGCACACACTCCTATTAATATATTTACTGGGTCTCCGCTCATGTTAGCAGCGACATCTTCAGCCACATCAGACCGAACACATGCCGAAAACGGTTAGCCTGCTAGCGGTTAGCATTAGGCCCAGATTAATTTTTCATTAGCCCAAAGTAAAATTTAAAATTCATTCTTTACACTTTGTGTTTGCTATGTGTTTATAATGTCTAAAATATACCAAAAATCTCTGAGTAACCGACTGATATCAATTTATTTTTGCTTTTTCCCCCCTGCCACCGTCACTGAAACACTCACCATGTTGAACGGGAAGCTGGAAAGAGGACCGGAAGAGGTTGTACTGTGACAAAAAAAGAAAAACAGACTGCACCGCCCTAAAAAAAAAAGTAATGTCAAATGTTTAGTTTGTTTAACTTTCCATTATTTTTAATACTTGAACAATGTGTTTTATAAAATAATAAAATACATATCAGTACGCTATTTTGTACTGAAGCAAAAAAGTATTTTAAATTTTAACTAGCGGAAGGATACGGCTGAGTCTCATAAAAAAAGCACTTCCGGTTTTTCTTCTCTTCAAAGAAAATACATTTTGAATATTAATTCAATATCATGATTGAAATGTAGAAAACTAACATGAAAAAATTAAATGCTTGTAATGAATAAATGCATTGTTGTATTCAGCACTTGTACTGATTCACCATTGTGAATAGAAATCCTGCTACACAAAATACCATTATTAGTATTTCTTCTATCCTAGTATGCAGATCAACAGTGTATTTAATTATATGTGATACGGGAAAAATACAATAATCTCTTGTTTCAATGAAATGTACAAATCCACTTAACAGAATGCTCACCTGTTACAAATGTGTACGCTATTTATTACACATTTCTTTGTTTATATATATATAAAGCTGTTATTAAAATCTCATTGTCTTCAATGACTGTTCCCAGTTGACTCATTTATACAGAAATATCAGACTGACTCTTAACAAAGTTTACAATAAGAGTAACTGTTAGAGCTTCCTGCAGCTTTAGTCAAATCTGACCAAGTTAGCTCAAACCCTGCATTCATCTCTCAGATTATTTTGCAATGTTTTTCATTGTGATCCAAGCAGCCCTGGAGTTTGCTAACAGCTCACATCAACAAATGTTTTCCTCTCAAGTTACACAAGAGTGGATTAGATTTTAAACTGAGGTGTAAATGTTTTGACGTCATTCTGACCCTATTCTGCTTGAAATCTACCACTCACATTAAAAATATATCATCTGGAAGGTCTTCGTCTTCACATAAATGACAGTTTGTCTGTCGGTGGCATCAGTTCTCACAAAATAACCTTGGACCAACACAGGGTGCAAGTAAACATTTAAAACGTTAACTAACACTTTATAACCTTGTCACAAAAAACTTATAAAAACATTTTCGGCAAGTGAAACGACACGAAGAACACGGCCGTTTAAAAAGTTTATTGAAAGAGTTCTGTGCTTTTGTCCTTATTTCTTCTTGCTCTTCTTATCTTTGGCCTTCTTTTTGCACGGCTTCTGAGCGCTGGCCTTTTTGTAGAGGTAAAGTCCCACCAGGCCGAGCAGAGTGGGCACCAGGGCCAAGCACATGAGAGGGAACACGTCGTTGATCATTTTCTGCCACGGCGTCTGCTGCGATACAGAAACCACCTCCACTTCGAACTGCAGAACGGCGTCACCTGATGCAGGAACGGCACGATTCAAGTTAGTCTACATGGAGGTAAAACATGAGGCGTCTGTGCCAAAAAGTAAAGAATTAACATAATAATTTATTTATTCTTGTTTTTCCTTAAACTTTCCATTCATAACATGTATGTGTGTGTATGTAATAAAATAAGGGTAAATAATATGAAACAAAATGTAAAAACACAAAACAATTAGAAAATAACATTTTTGTTTCACATAATTCACACATATTAAACAACAGCTGTAGCTTTTTTACACCATTCTGAAATAGTTAAATGTGATGCTTCATTTTTAAAAGATACTAGTAACATATTTATGGAGAGCCTTTATGATTTGAGTGCATGTGTTGAGTACCTGGAATTGTAGGAGGGTAGCCTTTTTTTCCATAAGCAAGATGAGAAGGAATGGTGGCTTTGATTTTCTGACTGAATGAGAAAATAACAAGGAATAAAAAAGGGAAAATTTAATATTTTAAAAAACATTTACTGTTAACTCACTGCCTCAGAACAAATGTAAGGTCTTCACAGTGAACGTTTCTTTTTCCACTTACCCTTCACACACGCCAATCAAGCTTTGCTCCAGACCTGATAAGAAGAACACACAATCAATCAGCAAAAGCAGCACATTCTCAATCCAAACGAAAGCGTTACTAACAGAAGCAACACAGCCTGCAGAGACGTGTCATTATGTGTTAGCTTACCGGCAATAACCGTCCTCTTCCCCAGCTCCACAACAAGAGGATCCCTGGACAGCGACGAGTCGATCACCTTCCCGTCCATCAGTTTCCCCTGATCAATACAGTATCCAACACAGCAGAATGAGAAATACTGAATATACTTATTGGAGTTTGGTTAAAAGTATTGCAAATTGTACTTTTTAATACAAGTATGTTCTTGTGTCTGTTACGAAAATATCATTTAACATAAGTTTAATGAAACTTGCAGAAAGTAATCATTGGATGTCCACCTACACCTAATTAACTTCTGGAGTCAATTCAAGATGGCCGCTACAGCCAACTGATCATCAAAAACATAAACACTGATGTAACTCAGTCAGTTTTACAAACATTTAGCTACAATTTGGTGTGGTAGTAGCTGAGATACATACAGTCTGAATGCTAAATATTGTGCAAGATCTTTGCCTAAAACACCATGTTTGCGGTTTTAGTCAACCTTGTTTGTGTGTTAGCAAAATATGGCATGAACCACTGGATGTATTTTTAAAACTGACTATATTTTGTTGCAAACCCATGTCAAGATGACCAACACAGCCAAGTGAGCTTCAGAAAACACAAAAATTGGCTACAGCTCAAGTCAATTTTACAAACACTGAGCTAAAGTTTGATGGTAGCTGAGAGTAAAGCTGGGCAATAAAACAATGATATAAAAATAATAATGATAATACATTTTATTTGAAGGTACCTTTCATGGCACTCGAGGACAATGTAATAGAATATAAAATGCGGCTTTAGCTGCTCCACCTCTCAGACTCAGCTAATCAAGGTTGGTGGCATCGACTAACTCACTCACTCTTTGATAAGTTAGCAATAACCTGCTGAGTAACGTGTGCAGTAGCAGTTTCATGTTTCGCCACTGTGTCTCATACCTGCCTAAAATTAAATAAGAACGGCGTTTAGTGAAAGGAGAAAATTCGTGCAACAGCTTGAGAGGAATTTGTGGATAAAAAGGAAAGGTCCTGTCACCAGTTTGGCAGTAAAAAATCTGCCTTTTTCCCCTGGTCTTTATTTCAAAAATGTAAAACAAACAAAAAAAACAATAACTTGATATCAGCTGATATTAAACACTAATATCGTGATACATTTTTCAGCCATACTGCTAGCTGAAAGTCATACACAACTCCAGTCTGACCAAAATGGCTACAACTCCACATCATTTGTCAACAAACAACATTACTACTAAGATGATACACATTAGACCTGATATGTTAAATATGTCAAGTGTGGCTCAATTTAATGTCCCACACTTTGCTGCTGTCTCTTTATTAGCATTATCATAAGTGACTATTTAAAAGCATAACCCCTCATGTATAACGCATAAAGTTTTTTTCTTTTTTATACAACACATAAAGTGGTCCAGAGACTGTTGCTGACGTGTTTCCTCGTCCCATCAGTCCCAAAGTAAAAGCTGTCGATCTCAGACACCACATAAGACACATGAAATGCATTAATTAAAAAATATATATTTTTTAAATCTTCTCAGAAACGCTCTCAACGCCTGAGGCTTTTTTCTTTCTCATGATCAGAGAAGAAGTGCAGCGAGCTCCACATGGTTCCTGCAGACCGTGCCACATATACAACTCGTCATCAGCTGGGCTGGTCCGGACCTTTCCTTTTTCCTTTTTCTTTGTAAAAAAAATAATGATAAAAATCCTCCACAGTTACTTTATAAAAGAAATAAGCGAGCTGAGTGCCTGTTGTACTTACTGTGTAGTGGATTTGAAGCGTATCTCCCATTTTGGAGGGCGCAGAGCAAGTTTCTGGCTTCACCTTAAGAGTCCAGAGTAAATTTATTTATTTTCACAGCGGTCGTGTTGTTACTGCGGTGGTATTATCGAGCTGTTACTCACCAATGTCTCCACCTGCAGCTCCTCCAACGCGCTGTCTTCAGCCTGAGCGAGTCCACAGGAGCAGAAGGCAGCGAGCAGGAGCAGAAACGCGACTGCTTTCATTGTGAACTTTAGGGAAAAAGCTGCCATTAGGTAACTTCCGAGTATCTGCTGCTGCTTCTTCTTCTGTCCCCGGCGGAAGCAGAGTGGTCAGACAGAGCTGCTCCGTCTGTCGACCCCTCAGCAGCAGGTAAAGCTGATGTGTCGTAACACCGTGGCGATAAGGAGTCGGACGTTGTCCCACCAACACCTGGGTCCCCCAGAAGAGCCCGCCTCGAACATTCCCTCAGTCGGCTAGCGCGTTCTGCTAACCGAGAGGTTCGAGCCGACCCACGGGCCAGGTTATATTTGCTTTTCGCCGGAGATGGTTGCTTAAGAAGTAGCCTATTTCTAAGTGTGATAAATGTGGAACATACAATTTACCTGCTCAACACTGGATGCTGATATTGTCGAACGGAGATGCTGTGCTGAGTCTCTTTAGCGCCACCTCCGTTCGAGCCCACCCAGGGACAAAACATCTTGATTAATCTATTATTACTCGAAGTCAAATAAAACAAATATTTAAAGGATCGTTCCTGCAACTGCACTAATAAGAACAAAACAATCAAAAACACACACACATACTAATTWAAAAAATATCACTCAGTAAATCCAGCCAGCAGCGAAGCGGAAGCTGCACTCCGCCGTGGCGCTGGGGGGCGCTGCTGTGCACCTTCAGCCCACAGTCATGTTTTAATAAACCTGATCTGATGCTCCTGTAGACATCATAACATGGGAATATTTTTATTTATTTATGGTGCCTCACTACTGTAACCATCTCTGTTTATTTGTTTATTGTGTTTAATTTAACAGTAGGACAACACTTTTTCCTCAATCCCCGTGTTAGTCTTTTGCTATCCGAGTCAGAGTTAAATGGTATTGACTGAAGACAGGAGACAGAACTGGAAGTTGCAGGAATTAAGACGTTAAGGTTCTCTATGAGTGCAAGGTTGGATAAAATTAGGAATGAGATCATCAGAGGTACTGCATCGGTTGAATGACTGGGAGATAAAACCAGAGGCCAGGCTGAGATGGTTTGGACACGTCCAGAGGAGGGACAGTGGGTATATTGGTAGAATTATGATTACAGATGCAGCTGGCATGAAAAAAGACAAAGGGGAAATATGGATGAAGTTAGAGAGGACATGTAGGTAGATATGATGTAGTTTTAGGGCCAAAATTAAGACTATTGCACAACCTATTCTTAAACCAGCTATAGGCCGGCACCAGTAATTGAGCAGTTGGCCCTCGTAACTGAGAGACCAGCGCTGGCAAATGAGAAGGAGACTATATCAAAAAGGCTAGCGACTAATGTGGATAAACTAGCATTAGCATTGGAGAGGCCAGCAACTAGCATGCCTAGGCTGCTCCCCTACTTTATTAGACAAAAACTTTTCGAATAAAGAAAACTTTCACTATAAACTAAACTTTATATAAAAGCCCCAACTTGATAGTTCTGGCTTTTCTCATAATTCTACTAAAGAGAGAAAAAACACTGCAATCGACCAATAGACAAGAGCAAATTCAGCTGCTAATTCAAGTGGTAACTAAAGCTGTCTGCTTCACAGTAATATCATGTTTAATATTTATGCTTGACACCATGTTGAACAGTAAATTCTGTCTAAAGAACACCATTTGTGTTGAGAAAGTTTTCTGACGTTTCACTTCCTATCCATGGGAAGCTAAACGTGTTCAACTTTAGAAATGGAAGTCCAGTTGTTGTTGTTTTTTGTTGTTGTTGTTTTTAACCCTTTTTTATTCATATGTAGGTAGTTAGAGTGAGGAGGATGACTCTCTGTGGTGACACCCCTGAAGAAAGGGACCCGCTGAAAGAAGTCAAAAGCCTTTCTGAAGTCTGTCACCAGTTTTGAAAGTCAAAATATGTGATTTGTTTGTGATGATAATGTCAATGGAGAGATTAAAAAACAGTGTGAAAAAAATGACAAATAAAGTAAATATAGAACTTCAAACTTGAATGCCTCAGAAGCTATTTTTACACATATACAGTACATTGTAAAGATTGGGGCAGAGGTTTGAAGACTGTTCACATGTGTGTATTTGGTAATTATTGCTGGTGGATCTTGTAAAAGTTAAACCTAAAACTAAATTGGAAATCAAACTTCTATTTTTACAGGTGTCTGTTAATTACATGCAACAATAAGAGATGTTCTAGGCACTGCTGGTGACACAAATACCTGGTATCTTCACCTATGACTCATTGCTATTACTTATTTTTAGTCAAATGTGTGAGCACTCCTGCCAGGTAGAAACCCGCTCTCATTGACTTGTCATGGGGCCGCAAAATGTCAGCAAGTCAGGCAATAAAGAGGTTTTTATAATGTCACAGTAAGGTAATTTCAAACTACAGTCAAGTCACCATGCTTACAAGTAGGTTAGAATGTAATTTCTTACATGCACATTTTAGTTTTCATTCTTTAAAAATAAGACAACTATATCTTGATGCCATCCATGCCAAACTGCTGAGTCATTTTCTATCATAAACATGTGCTTGTCTTGACTTTTACATGTTATGTCCAAAGGTGATACATTGCTTTGGCTCTTTGTCTTCAGGAACTAGTGAGATCCCATGAACTGATCACCAAGAGACTGTAGGACAAAGAAACAGCCGTCAGGCAGGAGCAGATTATGTATTAAGTTCTTCAACTAACTAAAACAAACACCAAATGATACGGCTCATTCTACACCGTTAAAGMACCCCCTTGTGTATTCACGTCTAGCCAGAATACTGATGCTCAMACTTACATTTTAAACAAATCAAACCTGATTGAGCAGACTGTCTTGTTGTTGGTTTAATTAAACTGGCYCTTTGACTCTGTCACCATATTTTTTTGAATACTAATATAAATTTAGTGGTTWGGACAACCATCATTACCTGATAAAACAATGTATAAAAGATTTATGTACACACCTAAAGTTTTAAAATCCTTTCATAATTGTGCTTGTGTTTGTTGTTATTCATTAGCCTGMAGAATAAAATACTCCATAAATATCATTCAGTTCCGGAACCACTTAAACCCCTTTTTAATGCAGTGTCGGTACGATTCCAAGCCATTTCTGTTAGGCCAGATTCTTGGAACCAGCCCTTTTTTAGTACCTACTTCGTTGTGGTTCCAAGTGGTCCCAGTCGACACCAAAATGCGATATTGGAATACTGTTCTTCACTGACTGGCTATGGGGTGGAGTCACTGGTTGTGTCTAAGCTACCTTTACAACTCGAGGCACCATTTTTTCCAATTGTAGCAGTGACATTAGTCGTGTTTCCATCCTATTTTAATTTGAATTTTTAGCAAATTTTTTAAATTTCAGAACTTATTAGGCAAATGTTTTCATCTCTCATTTTGCGCATTAACCTTTTTTTGAAAAACACAAAAACCACCTCCACCAACCGCCCAAAACACACCCACTGGAACCGGACTGGAACGTCATTGGAAAAGTACCCGAACTGACCCATTCCGACCCTGACCGTACCGACACTACACTGAGTGGCACTAGAGGAAAAGGGGCATTAATTTCCTGATTTTGCAATATTTTTATTGCATTACACTGAAAAAAACTGTTCCAAAAGAACTGTTTTGTGGGTTCAAATTACATATTTTAAATAAGCATAGGCTTGTATAGTTACTTTGTTTAATTTAAAATGTCATTTTTGAATTGGTTGCTTTTCATATTTGCATATAGGTTATTTGATTTTATTCATCAGATATATTTATATATCAAATTAAATCTGATTGGTTATACATAAATTCTGCAGCATGACAATTTTAAACAAKAGTCCTACAAAGAGTCCTGATCCTGATCCATCATGTTGTCTGGGTTTATATGAAAAGACACAGATGTATTAATCAATATTAATAGAAATATCCAGAGATTTTCTTACAAAAAACATACTATGAAACACTACACCTATCAACAGAAATGAAAAGCCCAGTTTTTATGTTGTCTGATTTCACTAGTAAAAACCTGGAGCACGTGTGCTATAAACCAAAAGGTAAAGATAAACTTAAAGTCCCACTCCGTATGAGGGACCAAAAAGAAAACTTTGTGATTTTTGTTCGAACTGAGGCCACCTCTGTGACCAGGCCATCTGGGACATTAGCGTGGGAAGACTGCTGATAGGCTATGTTGACCAGCAACAACTGGAAAAGCTCTTGTGTCAAYACCAATACCAAAAAGGACTGATTCCCCTGTTGAGCAAACAGTTTCCACCTTAAAACTCTTAAAGTGGATCCTGAATAAATTTTTGATGTTTTACATTTTATTGTCATTTATAGACAATGTATTGCATTTTTAAAATGATTTGTCAAAGCCAATTTTTTTTCTGTCATTAGAAGTCATTAGAGGATCTACAGTCTCAGGAATTTTAGGGTCAAAGCCGACAYGGTGTTTGGACTCAATGAAGGATATAAAAGACTGTGAAACTTTGTGTTTCAAGTGGATTTAATGGACATGTTTTCCCCCCAAATAGTTAATTATCACCTCTGAAAAGTGGGCAGTAATGTTTTCGTCCTTGTAAGTGTGTGAGYGTGTCTATTAGCAATATATGTCAAGAACCACTTGACTAAATGTTATGAAACTTCAAGAAATAATCTTTGGATGTACAACCACATTTGATTTACCTTTTAGGGTCAACTCAATCCAAAATGGCACCAACCAAGTGACCTTAAATACACAAAATGACTACAACTCAGTTAATTTTACACATACAGTATATGCTTAATGTGATGTAGTGACTGATCCCCAGGAAATACAGTAATTTGAGCACTAATGCACTGCACAAGATATTCGTTTAAAATTTGTTCTTAAACATTTTAGAGTCAATGCTGTCAGCAAAATATYTKRTGAACCACTGGATTCATTTTAATGAAACTTTTAAAAAGTAAACATTGGATCTCCATAATTGTTTACCTTATAGATTCTAATCCAATTCATAATATCTGCCACAACTAATTAATATTAGCTGACTCAGAAGAGGCTGTAACTCAGTCATTTTTTTACAGATTTTGAGCTAAAATCTGATGTGGCAGCAGTGGTTGTGGTAGTAGTAGTTGCTAGGCCTTAATTAATTTTTTGTTTGTTTTTATTCTAGTAGGCTAGTGATTGTCATTTATTCCAATACATTTAGCAAATGGATGATTTTTTAATCGACAAACAAAACATGTAACATAGTTCTGAATATGTCCAACCAATCATAAAAATAGCTGTACTGGAATCTCCATCAAAATAATAAAACTTAAAATGGTAAAAACTGTAAAATACGGGTTTAATTCTATATAATTCTGTGTAGTGTCCATTTTATACTTTTTAATATTTAGACAAGTATCTATTAACTTGTATGAGTTCATTTTTGTGAAATTGAAATTGAGAAGAAACTGCATGTGAACACGGGAACAAGTTCATCTCAAAATGTACAGTTTTGTTTGTAATATCGCGAGATTACACTTCACTGCCGTGCTGTCAGCCGGAAAGTCTCGTGAGACCTTTAGTAGTGGACTGCTCGGCTAAAGGTAGGACGGTCCTCGGCACCACTAATAACGCGGTACATATCACGAAGGTCCCAGCTGAAGGTAACAGAGCAGTAGAGGGGAAATGTGTTTTGTTGTAGCCGTGTAGAGTCGGTGTTCAGCCGCCCTGAAGCTGCTTCGTTCGGGCGGCTCAGGATGCCCGCTGAGGTGATGATGATGAGCGGAGGGATGGATGGGGTGGTGGACAGGGACGGTTCGCTAACCCGTCTTTCACGCGCTACCAAAGCGTAAATCCTGCCTGATAAATGATGCTAATTTTTGATAAGATGAAACGAAATCGTCGCCGAAGCGGAGATAATTTTAAATGAGCCGCTGTAATAAATAATACGGACCGGCAGGATGGCTGTGTAACGTAGCTGAAGCTGAGACACCGGAACTGGGTGAGCACAGTCAGGCCCCGCTGCTCCCATTAATATCTCCAATCTGGGATGCAAAACCCCCGTGTGGTCAGAAAACAGAGAGGAGCTGGAGTCAGCCAGCATCTTCTTTAGCACCACGGACAGAGGATTTTCAGATAATTAATTTCAAACACAAAGAAGGACATGTTTCAGATAAACATAATTCAGATTAACAAGCTCAAAATGGCTTCTAATTTAACACAAATCCTTACATTTGTGGCAGACGATTTGGTGTAAATTCAGGTGTAAATTAATTTGTTGAAATTATTTTCTACAGCTTGATAATTTAAAGAAAACAAAAGTGATTTTATTGGTTGTGCAGAAAATCTTTGGCACCATTTGATACAAGACTGTTTTATAATGGTTAAAAAAAAGTCACCATTTTCACACTTTTCCCCATGTTTTAATTCCTAACGTGTTAGATTACAAACTCATCTCACATATGTTTGACTTAATTTAATTTTTGCCCGTTTGTGTGTTTGTCTGTAGCGTTAGCAAAATATCTCTTGAATCAGAACCATTAGCCATTGAGTCAACCCGATTCAAGATGGCAACCACAACTAAAAAACCTTAGATATAAAAAAAATGTCTATAGCTGTCAATCTTTTACAGAAAATTAGCTGAAATTTGGTGTGTTGGAAGCTGAGAGTCCTCCTCAGTACATACTCTGGGACACATTGTGCAACATCTTTGCTTAAAACTTTGGCAATAACTGTTAGCGACGCTGTCCGTGAGTCAATTATTTCAAATTTTAATGAAACTCCCAGAAAGTAACATTTAGTGTCGGAATTCAAGATGACTGCCACACCTAAATGACCTTAGTCAACACACAAACGTCTCTAAATCTAAATTTATCCTCCTTTCTCTGTGATCTCCTGTAAAAGCTGCACAATATTGCAGCACAGCGTTTTTTTGATACAAGATTTGACCAAAATAGCTATAACTCCGTCTCTTCTCAGCACAAGATGATTTGGGTTTAAATCTTTAATTTATAATGTCATCTTCAGTTTTGGCAGTGTGATGAGGTGAACACGTTCACACCAGGCCTGCTTATGTAGGACATGTTGCATGTGCTGTGAGGGCTTGGCGTTGTTGCACTCAAATGTTTGAAGGAGGAAAAAAAACAAGTGAGAAGGGTCTGAACAGATTGTGCTGCTGCCTGGAGTCATGGCACAGACACGCATCTCTATCACCCTCTGTAGCTCTCCTACATTTGTAAGATTTGGTTMGTTAGAATGACCATTTAAATTATTTAGGCCTGCAATATGCAGGCGTCACTATAAAGCTGTGTTTTGTTTTCTTTCAGCCTTGCGTATTTATCAGCACCAGACAACTGACGAATTGCTGAAAGGCCTGCAGCACCACGACTCCAGTTTGAGAAGCTCATCTGAACCATGGGGAACATTTTTGGGAATTTGCTGAAGAGCCTCATAGGAAAAAAGGAGATGAGGATCTTGATGGTTGGGCTCGACGCTGCAGGGAAAACGACAATTCTTTATAAGCTCAAACTGGGGGAAATAGTCACTACAATTCCAACTATTGGTGCGTTCTCGCTGGAGTTTCACATTTTATGCACGTTAACAAATCAGTAGCTCGTTTTTTTAATGTGATGTAACTTCTTCACAGGATTTAACGTGGAAACGGTGGAGTACAAGAACATCAGCTTCACCGTGTGGGATGTGGGTGGACAGGATAAGATTCGTCCCCTGTGGAGGCACTACTTCCAAAACACGCAGGGTGATGAGAGCCGATCAGACAGCAGCCCAAAGGCCTCGCTTCCGCTTCACAAAATGCTGTATTTAACCCCCTTTACTTTGCGGCTGTTTCAGGTTTAATCTTCGTGGTGGACAGCAACGACAGAGAACGTGTGAACGAAGCTCGAGAGGAGCTGATGAGGATGCTGGCAGAGGATGAGCTGAGAGATGCAGTGCTCCTCGTGTTCGCTAATAAACAGGCAAGTTGTGCTCTTACAGCTCAAATGCACTTGCGTACTGGTTTGTTGTGGCACTTCCTGTTCCTGTTTCAAGTTGAAGTTATTTAAGCTGTCATTATTAGGGCTTGCCATTTCAAATGAATAGGAGAGCAGATGAATGCATTAAGCTAACTGCTAATGCTACATTTTGAAAATGCAACAATTAAGCCATTTTTAAGCTAAACAAAAACATGAATCTAAAAAATAATTAAGATGGTAACCTGGGCTAATTTTAAACAGCTATGTGTCGTCCATTTTGAGACATGTTGGGCTGAAATTTGGTGTAGTGGTAGCTGAGAACAATCCCCATCACATACTGAATCCAAATGAAAAATTCAAGATGGCCACCATAGCTAAAAGGAAGAATTAACCTTAATTTGACCATTTTTAGCCATATTGAGTATGATGGTTGAAAGTCAAATCTTTAGTATAAAATGTGGCAAGCCTTTTCATAGTTACTCCAGGAACTATTTTTACTAAAGTATGTTGTTAAAAATCAAATCATAAAAAGAAAAACTGATGCAGATTTATTTTTAACATATTTAAAATATATATGTAAATAATTTGATGAGCAAATTAACTTTCAAAAAACTGCTTCACAAAGTTTTGGTCATTTTAAATGATCACAAATGATGCTTCTTATTTATTTTTTTTAAAAGTTGAAACCCAGCAGAACGTTTTTGCAGGATTAAACTCTGTTTCTCCAAACTTCCTGCTCGTCCACAGGACTTACCGAACGCAATGAACGCCGCCGAGATCACAGACAAGTTGGGCTTGCACTCCCTCCGCCACCGCAACTGGTACATCCAGGCCACCTGCGCCACCAGCGGCGACGGCTTGTACGAGGGCCTTGATTGGCTGGCCAATCAACTCAAGAACAAAAAATAAGTGGGCGGCTGGAAAAAAAAAACAACAACAAAACAAACAAAAAAAAAAACAACCACCCAAATCCAACTTTAAAGAAAAAATATCCTTTTTTCCTGGGAAAGTGGTTCAGGTTGGGTTTTGATTGATTTGTACAAAATAATAATCTGAGTCAGGAGGAGGTTTGATTTAGTTGTCAGTGGTTATTTAAAAAAAAGAAATTAAAGATTCTCCTGTTCATATCTAACTACACACACACGTATACACACTAACTGTAACTCGTCACAGACACTTGCTTTTCTTCTCCATCCACTTGTTTTTCAGTGCAATGTACTGTATGTTGGTCTCCAGGTGCTGTGCTGAGTCAGCAGTCAGTCAGACTTTTATGTTTTGTTTTTGTTTTGTTTTTTTTGTTTGTAACTCATCCAAAGATAAGTTCTATCAGATCAACTTTTATTATATTTAGTCTCTTATTTCCTGCAGGGTAACAGCCATGTTTAAAAAAACCAATAATGCAGAAGCTCATAGCACCACAGCAGCCTCTGATTGTGGCTTGTTCTCCTTTCTCATTTGTGAGCAATACTGAGCACTTTGATTCTCATGTTTAGTGTTTAAACTTGTCTCCTTGTCTTTGTGTCAGAGGCTCAGGCATTAATTGTGAACGGCTGGCAATTCTCAACACTTTTTTTTTCAAATGTTTGAGTTGCGTTTTGACACCTCGTGAGGCAACCTGAAGCACCGAGGCCGGCCTTTTTAAATATTTTAAAACACTCTCAATTGCCTGACCCGCGTGCGTCCTGCTCACCACTCACATCTCTGTCCTTAGAGCCGAGACGATGCTGTTTGTAGATTTGTCCTCACAACAGGGCGCAAAACTGGAAACATTTATTTGCCAGCTTTATTGTGAGGGTAGAGGTGCACTAGAATATATTTAAAAACCATCGTCTTGTGTGAATAATGAGTTCAGACTGCATCAGGTTGCCCTTGCTTGTGTGTTTTTTTAGTTTAATTTAGCAGATTCTGTCTCTAAAAGCTGTGCTACTGAATGTGAATATTTAAGCGGCTGTATTTATGGTCGTTCCTCGCCCATCGCCCCATGACTTGTCTGCGTATTTACGTGAAGGAAAGCAGGGTAAGCAGATGTTTGTGTCACAGCTCTCTGAAACTCCGCAGCCGAACGACTGCGTCACAGCTGAAACCAGCAGATTCTATAAACTTTACGTCTCCATAAAGCTATTTCCTCATGCTATACACGGATGCTACGATGAGTTCCAGCATCACAACCCCCCAACTCATCGGTGCATGTTTCACAACCAGTTACTGTTTGTTTAGAAATTAATGGTTTGTTTTATGTGGCCTTATATTCAGATTGGTTTCCTCTCAGCTGGTTTGGTTCTGGTTTTGAGTCGTGAATTTATGGATTAAAACTTTATTCAGTTTTTTGTTCTCTCTGTGCCTCTCAAAAAGGCAGGTTTTGGCACCACAGGCTATCTTTAGTTTTGCTGGTATACCAGATTCATATTTAGTTGTAGCTTTTTGTATTTAGTTTGAGGTTTAGAGGAAACTTTGATGTAGATTGTGTCTGTAAAACGATGATAATCAATGTGAAAAAAAATACTCCCAATGATTCATTCTGTACCGTTATAGTTACACAAGTAGATAAAAAAAAACAATGGTGAAGACTATGTTTTAATGCTGAATGCACAGAGACATCTGTATGTGGTGTAAGATGAGATCCTGCTGTATTACGAATAAACCCATTTTCTGTACGATCTGTTTCTTCTGCTGCTCACTGGTGGCCATTTTTATCCTTTATTTTCACATTTAAACAGCTGATACAGAAAATCTAAGACTTTTGCTTATAAGCTTTTATCAGGAGAGGGCAGTCTCGAGCAGCTAAAAGAACAGGAAACCCTTAACGTTCTGTTTTGTTTATGACATGATTTGAATATAACTCAGTGACCTACACCAAGGTTGTAAAACTATAAGTGGTTGCTCTTTTTCTTACTACGTGTACATTTTTTGATCTGAAAACACTTCCTCATTCAAGAAGGTTGTTTTTGTGCCCTAATTATAAAAGACACTTCATACAGCAATAACATGATTATTCTCCAGTCTATGAAATTCATTAAAATTGAACTTTTGGCAGGATAATTCTTGCAAAATAATTGTAWAATGTTTTTTGTTTATTTCCACATTTTCAGCTAAAACATTCAGTCCTTAATTTGAAATAAAGTGAAAGAAAACACATTAAGCTCAAATCAACAACAAAAAATTTATATATAAGATTTGAGTTGGTTTAAAATAATTTGACCAGACTGCTTGTTTTGCCAATTCAAATAATAGTTTCTTTTCACTCAAGCTGTTTCTATTTCTGAAAGTATTTTCAGTTGTTTTCAGTTTTCCAACAATAAGAAGTTAATCTGTTTGTGCCAGACTCATGATTACTGGTAATTTTTTTATTAGCTACCTTCTTGAGATGTCTAGGGGCAAAGTCGAATCATATTTTTGTTCATGACTTCCTATAAGCACTGAAAGCAGATGTTTTTATTTTATTCAAACCGTTTAACTTTTGATAAAGCAGATTTTGTTTTCTTGTTCGACAAGAAGATTTCGGTACAGAAGTGGACTGGAGCTGCAGGCAGAACCTGTTTCCACAGAGCCGTTTGTCTCGCTCGTCCACTTCTACACACGAGTTGTTTTTCTCCAAGTCAAGACAATTAATTTATGTAACACGATAAGAAACGCGTCTTCAGAACAAATCAGGACGTTTACGGCTTCTGCTTCGAACAAGGGTCCTAAAGAGTCTGGTGCTAAGTCCAGCAGTAAATCCACATGGCAGCAATAAAAGAAAAAGATTTTGCACCTCAAGAGGCTCAGCAGGAAAAGGAGTGGAGGGGTTAAAGTCTCATCCTCAGGAGAGTTTCAGAGCATCAGGGAGGCTGCCTCGTTCTGTGTGCAGGAAACATGTTTTTATGTGATAAGAGTTGAACTGACTCACCTGATTTAATGATTAAACTACTTTTGCATCAAGAGGGGAAAAAACGAGCTGATTAATGAATTAAGTGGCTTAAATGAGCCAAAAGTTTCTCTGAAAATAAAAATGAGGATCGACGCACAGAGTATTGGATAAATAGATGGTGATTTTATAAACCAGCAGTAGCCTAAATGGCTGTTAAAAAACTTATCTGTGTGTGTGTTTTAGTGTGTTTTTGTGTGCGTGCGTGCGTGYGYGYGYGYGTGTGTGTGTGTGTTACCTTGGAAGGCCCATTTTTCTAGAACAGTCTATCCTCTGGTTTAGGCTTAGGTGGGGTGAGTAAGATAAGACTAAAGGTCAAGATAAATTATTGAACAATGAATGAAAATAGAAAGTCCCCATGAAAATATAAAAACATGTTCTTTAACTCATCTTATTCAAATGTATGCCCCCCCCCCCAAAAAAAAGAGCAAACTTATTTTACCATCCTAAATTACTTGAATTATTTGACTATAATATATTATATAAATCAATGAAATGAATGTGAGCTTTTATTACAGAAAAATAACATGTTATCATTAATAAAAACACATCAAACAAACAAACAAACACGTTTGTCACCACTGAAGTGTTTTAACTGGGTTAGGTGTCGTTCCTTGTGACGTCTGACTCCGCCCACATAAATCAGTGTCGGAGGCGCTCCGGCCGCTGATTGGCTGCGCGCGTCGCCTCCAATCACGGAGCGGCGCAGATTCTACTCACTCACGCACACACTCACACACAAACCGGAGCGGGCGGCTCGGAAAGTCAAATAAAGCAAACACCGTGAGTCTTTTCTCTCCGGGGCGGACATTTGCCTTCATCTGAAGAGAAAGCTCGGCTCTGGGAGTAAGAGAGGAAGTGAAAACAAAACTGGATTAATCGAATAATCTGTTCGTCTAAATGGACTGTCTCGGGTTAAAGCTACTGAGGACGATTCTGGACCACAAACGGATTATATATATTTGTTTTCCTCTTTTGTCCTGTGATGTATATTTGACATTCCTTTGAGTGAGGATGACTGCCCTCATGGTGCAGCAGGTGCTCTGCCTCCTCCTCCTCCTCCTCCTGCTGCTGCTGTGCGCTCTCCAACCCTGCAGCGCTCAGACGCCAGAAGGTGGGTCCTCAACACATCCTCAACTTTTTTATTTCTACTTTATTTCCCACCTGATAAGACATTCACGCTACACTAAAGTGACAGGCTCTGCTATTGAAGAACACCTGCCCTGAAAAAAAAAAAAAAAAAAAAACCTGTTCCGCACACGTAAAACTTGTTTGCTGTGACTCACCTGTACCTCTCCCACGGCTCTGTGTGCTTTAGTGTGTTTGACTCAATTGTTTCAAGGTTTTGCGACAGAGCCCAACCTTTTTTTTTTTAAACCACACGCAGTCAGGGCAAAGTGTCCTGCCATTGTAAAAAAAAAAAAAAAAAAAAAAAGTTATCTCTGAAATGTTTGAGCTTCCTTTAATCAGTAGTGGAGCAAGAATTCAGTCTGTGTGTGGTGGTGATGATCCTATAGATCAATAAAAGTTTGAGAAGGAGCATTTATAGGTCTTCACTAAACAGTTATGACTTTTTCCTAATGTTTGTATTAAATTTAGATAATTTTTTTAAAAAGAAGCCTATGTGAGCTTCACTTTTTAAAACAAAAATATAAAAAAATTGGAAACAAAATGATGTCAGTCTCAAAACTTGTAGCACTAAAATCCAGTCTTTATAATAAAAAGTTTTTGTTGTTGCCAAAATATATATTTTTAAAGAAAGCTTTTAGTTTTAGCTTTAATTACAATGATATGCAGCTACAGAGTCATCCCATGTCTCATCACTGAGCTGCATAAATAAAAGAGTAAATCTTCAGTGTTTCGAAATGTTGGAGGGACAAGTGGGCTGCTGTGATTTGTTCCTGTGAACTTTGGTCTTGTTGCCACCTGGCTGCAGGTGAATTCAACGATTCTGATTCAGAGAAAAACAACATGAGATCATCGATGACAGAGCGTCTGGTAAACATTCTGAAAAGAAAATCCCTAATTTATTAATATTTGAAAACAAAAGTGTTTCAGCACAGGAGCTTGTTTATGCCCTCTGTTTTTGAAACAGGTTTTCCCTAATAGCAGTAGATGTACAAAAAAAATAAAGTTGATACAAACATTTTGTTTTAAAAATTGTTTACTGCCAAAGAACTGAACTAGTGTCAGGAGTGGAAAATGATGGTTGGATTGTTTTCATCTTGCTAGCTGCATCTTTAAAGGAATGTTTGTTGTTAGACATTTTTAATACACTTTATGTTGCTAATTTCATTTCGCCCATGAATCTTTTTGATTATCAAGAGGTTTTTTTTACATCCTTGAGCACAAAATCAGGGTGAGGTGTTGCGCAATCACAGTCAGTAATGACAGCACAGGTTGTAGTTCTTTGCTGCCGTGCCAACAAGCAGAGCAAAGGAACGTCCGTCTTTCTTCAATTTGCAAAAATGCTTTTATTGTCATAGAAGATCCCTTGGGGAAGAACAAACTTGTGGATGTGAGCATTTTATTTTATTTTATTTTATTACATTTTAAAATCTCAGGTAACCAAATAGGTGATGAGTCAGAAGTACAGCCGTGGGAACAAGTTTCAGTTAGGGATGCTGTGAACCGGTGTGAATCTGTATGACACTATGCACCCAAATAAACACACATGCACACTAGTGTGTAGTTAGAATACAATAAGAAAAACACATACATGTGAAAGATGTAAGAACATCTTCTAACTAGAAGCTAAAAAGGTTTCAGCTGCTTTGTAAAAGCCTCTGTCGGTGCACCTGAAACATGACTGCAGGTGCAGCTGCTTGGAAAGCAAGATCCTCTCCTGGTGTTAAAGTCTGAGAACTAACATGTTGTCTTCTATAAATCTAAAAATAAACCTTTAAATATGCAATGATGACCGTAAAATATCTGCACTGTTTTATTGTTGCAAGTATCTACATTAGCAGTGCTGATTTGTTTACGTTGTTTACATTCTCCTTATGGTTCCCCTCACTCGCTTTAAGACCTGTGGTGACCGTGCCTGCTCCTCTGTGGCCCCCAGGCTCTGGAATGAACTCCCTTTTAATCTGCGCTCCCTTGATAACATTGTCTCTTTCCATGCTGACTCTGTTTTATCGTGCTTTTATTGAATCTTTTTTAACCTTTTGCTTAGTGTCCTGGTTTGGTCACCTTTCTCTTAAAAATAAGAACTCCCTGAACCAAATAGTGAAGTGGTCCAGTAAAATGACTGGAAAGATGCGATTAAATCCAGAATCTCTGTACTCTAGGCAGGTCCAGAGATTGTCTGGGTCCATTTTGGAAGACGTGTCTCATCCTCTGCACGGCGAGTTCAGCCTCCTCCCATCAGGACATAGATACTTAGTGCCAAAATGTAAAACTAAGTGTTTCAATATCAGCTTTCTTCCTGTTGCAATTAGCTTTTTAAACTCAAGTTAACATTATACACATTACATTAGTCATTTTATTCTTTTTTTGTCTTATATAGTTCTATTTGATTTTATCTTGTTTTTATCTTTGATTCTCATATAGTTGAGTTTTATGAGCACCTGGTCACTTTTTAATCGTGTCCACTGTATGTCCATGTTAGATGTCTTGTGCTTTTTCTTGAATAGAAGTTGACTCGTTTTCACTGTAACCAGATTTACCTGCAGGTACAAATAAAGTTGATTGATTGATTGAACCATTGCACCATTACAGCCAGGCTACCTCCATTATGAATGCTCGCTCGCCAACCTGTGTTTTCTTTACTATTGAACTTACGCCATATTTTTCTCTCCCGCAGTCATTATGTTTTTGTGTATTACTGTATATTTTTGAACTGCATTGACCTTGTGTTTGAGCTACAATTTTAGAAATTAATTTCTTGATTTGATGTTTCAATTTTTGTTGCTTATGTTTAATTATGTTTTTCTGTTTCATTTTATTCTTTCCACCATTTTTATACTGTTAATGATTGTACAGCACCTTGTGAATATATTTCTGTGAAAGGTGCTTTATACATAAAACTATTTACTTACTTACATCAAAATGTTGCATCTATTTGGACAATATATGCTCATAAGGTGCTGCAGCTCCCTCTGCATCCCTACTTCATGCTCCYTTCATAAATATATTGCACATCAGCTGCATAAAGACGATCTGTCTTTTAGTTTATGCACCTTCTCAGACCCGTGAGCTGAACGCCAAGTGAGCGAGTTCATTTGTTCAAACGCTCTTGTTTTAACGAATGCGTGTGTTTACGTGTGATTAGTGCACACTTACCAGCAAAGTATGCACTAATCTCTGTCCTCCAGTGCCAAGTTTCTGTTTACACCGCTGAGCTTCTCGGCTGCTTTTATTGAGCTTGTTTATCACCTCCTCCTCCTCCCTCTATTATTTTCTTCTCTCTCCCTCCTCTGTTCTTTTCCAACGTTGATTCACTTGGTAACAGATGAGTGAAAAATAACAGCCAAAACCTGATTCTGTGCCTCGCTGTAATGATTGTGTTGAGTTACAAGTTCAGCACAGTGACACCACGGAGTAGTGAGTTCATGCAGTGGCTGAACAGAAAGCTCTTCCATGTTCTGCTGGGTTTTTGTATAAAGAGTGAGCGCACACACAGAAAGGTGTAGAACACTTGCTTTGCACACCTGCATAAAAACACCATTGTATTTGTGTCTGTGTGCGTCGGTATTGACTCTAAACCCTCCACCTCATTCCTTTTCGCTCCTTCATCCATCCAACAGCAATGCAAGTCCTCCTTTTGACAGAGAAAACCCAATCATCCAGCTACGGCCCGTGTGCTGTGTAAACGCAGGGCATACCGTTTTGTCACATTCTGTCCTTTATGTGTTAGTTTGTCTTTGTGTTGTGCACACATACTCCACATACTGCTGTCCAACGTTAATGTTACATTGCACAACAGGCATTTCAGAAGAGTCAGAAGCTCGAGTCATCTTGCACCGAGCCACACTCGGGGCTTAAATAATATAAAAAATAAGTTTTACACCTGAGCTGCTTGTAAACTCAGAACACTTCAAGTAAAAGTTGCAGAATTAACAATTCATTTTATTTTCAGCTTCAAATTAAATATTAAACGGAGAAATTATCCTAAAAAAATTTGAAAATTAACTTGCTGGCATGGGGAAAATGGTACAAAAAATCCATTTTTTTCAGTTCTTCCATTTTTATTGTCAGTAAGTTAAAGTGTTAATGATTTGCTTTATTTTAAGCTATAAATTAGTGTAGGGCAGATACTAATGAAAGCTGGTTTTAGTGTGGCTAAGTTCGTGCAAAATAACTTGACAATGAGACATTAATATGGAAGCTTTTAGGAGTAAATTATTAAATCATTATTTAATCATTTACAACCACAGAGAAAAGGTCATAAAATGATAATAACTGTAGAAAAAAAACTTTTTCCTTCTAAAGTACAATGAACCATTTAGTCAGCAGGTAAATGGATGAACTGTTATGTTTAAGTGAGGCCTGTTTGTGAAATCTACGGGGAACAAAAAACTCCTCCAGCAAGTACATTTGTTTGTTTTCAACAAGGAAAATCTTTTTAGCCCTGATGTGTCAGAGGAACCAGAGATAAGGTGTCCAGGAGGTGTTAATGTTTACTGTCAGCGCCTGAAACCTGCCTGGATGTCACTGAAAAATGCTGAAAAAAATCTGAGCTCTGCTCAACARCTTCTCGTATAACTCTGCAAAAGTCACCGGGGTGACAAAGAAACTTAATCAAATCTAAATGATCAGTTTTTCTAACTTGTTTTTCCAGTATTGTGCAGAGGATAATGAAAGAAATGTTAACTTTTAGCAAGAAATGTTACTGTTTCAAAGTGACTATTGTCTAGTTTCACTTCACACCTACAACTGGGTAATATTTTATTCTTTGAAGCTGCTTCTTTTTGGCTCTATTGACCTGGTTTGCTGTTAATATTACTTTTACTCTAAGATAAGAAAAGTTGATTACAAAATCATATCTGCTATCAAGAACATGAGGAAAACTCTTGATCTGGTCTGATTATCAGACAATCTATAAAGCCTGTTTTCTATTAAGAAATCTATTTCCTTCTGGGTTTTTTATTTATACTGTAACTTTATTAAGTGCTCGGGTTGTTATTAACCCAATGTTTCTCAGCAACAAGGAAAATGAGATTCAGGAAGGTCACACACTTACTAGAATCATGTTCAGTTTGTTTCTAGGAATTCATAAATGTTTCCTTTATAAAAATAAGAATATTTATGCAAAGCAAGCCTTTATTAACCTATGTTAAACCACTGAGGTTTAAGTATCCTAACAAAAAAATAAAATAAATATGGTTTATGGTTAAAACACGTGCAAACAAAACCCCACACAGGGGGGGAAACATATTTTTGTAATCAGCAGGCTGACTTCATTGGCGTAGATTCAAACTCGGTGAACTCATTGATCTCAATGAAATAAAACTAATAGTAAAAAATAAAAATAAACAAACCTGAACACGACTGTGTGGTCACGAGACAAGACTAAACACACTAGTTTTTTCTGTTCTGTTTATTTCCAGGAAACCTACAAAAAGCAACTTGACTCACCCCAAACTGACACAAACCAAAACTGATCGAATCCTAAACGTTTTCACCCGAGACGTGTGTGATCTCACAGACAGATCTCTGTCCTCAGGCGTGCACACACGCCACGCTTTGACCTGCCTGTTGTTTTCCTGCTATAGTTACTAATCATTAGTCTTTAATGCCCTTGTTGATCTCGTTCTTCGCCTGGTTTCTGTTTGACTATGATGACAGTCGATGGAAATTTTTTAATATTTCTTGTGTGACATGTTTGTGAGTGCACTCAAATCAATAAAAAAATTGCTTCTACAGACTTAAAGAAAAGGGTCACACACTAAAAACATAAACCAAAGGATCTCCTGCGGTATTTAGCCAACAATTTCAAACTGATACTGTTTGTTAATTCCCTTTACAAACTTTCACATTTTTTTAATTCATTATATTGTGATGGCTCAAATAGTTCATATATCAGTACAAGTTGCTAAATAGTTACTAAGGCAATAAGTCAAATAAAGCAAAGTCCACTTACTGTATATTAACTGTTTAATAGTTTAACTATCAACACATATTGGGATTTATAAGGAAATGTGTGTGTTTGAAGTTACTTTATAGCCAGAAAATCATGTTATTTATCATTTAAAATGTTTTTAAAAGAAAACTGGCTGATCTTAAATAAGGTCATTGTTTTGATTTTGATTTTGTTCTAAAATTGTTAAAATAAGAAAATCTGTATTTAAATTGATGTACGAGTTGGTACGAGGACAGAAAGGTAACTTGACATTGGTGTCGACGTGCTTTACGTGAGGACATTTGTACGTAGGTTTGCGTTGATTTATTTATTTATTTTTTGGTAAACCAACAAACACATTCAGTTTGTTTTCCTCGTCCCCTCTGTCCGTTTCCCCTCAGCTCCTTGTCTCCTGGCTGGCATTTGAATAGCAAAGCAGCCTTCTGGTGATGGGTGAACTCCCACAGACCATAAACAAGGCTTTGTGTGTTTGTTGGACAGAAGGACACGGCCTGGACACAATCCTCAGCTTGTTTCTCACTGTTACACTACATTCGTTCATCTGGAGCAAGATGAACACAGTGTCTTKTAGTAAAAAGCATAAAATAGACTTTTTTTAAGCTCATGAATGGCTTATTTACTTCTATAGGGCTTTCTGTGTTATCATACTATAAATAAATAATCAGTTTGTGCTTTTTCTTTTTTATAATTTGTGGCATTGTAAAACTTTATGTAAGATGATATAAATTATCTTGAGTTGTGTGCTGTGGTGTTTTCTTCTTTGCATTGCTACTGTCAAGTTTTTTTGATATTAGGTTTTATGTCAAACTGAAAAGGTAAAACAGTTTCTTATTGTTTTTGTATCTTCTTTCTGCAACATTCAGTTTGGTTCCACTAAACGTCTCTAAATGTGTTAAAAAATCCATTCAAGGCTATTTTTTCATGTGTTTGTTGAGCATTAGGCTTAATTTTCCGCTGTAAATTAATACACGCTCAGTGCTCAAATCTAGATTTATATTAACCTCATATGAGCTTTTTTTTAAAGCAACTGTGTATTTCCAGTAGTCTTCAAAAAATCTTTCGGTTTTCTCCTCATTAGCAAATAAAATAACTTCAAATTTCATGTTTTTTAAAACAATCTGAGAACGTGTTCTGATAATATTTCTCTCACCCCACCTCTCAGTGGCAGTTTGTTCCGGCACACAGAACGGTCTGAGCACTACGGGGAATTCAGACGAGCGGTATGACACGATGAAGAAGATGTACAACAACTGCGACATAGTGATGGGTAACCTTGAGATCACCATGATGGAGCACACCCGAGACTTCAGCTTCCTGCAGGTGGGTCTATGAACACGTTGGACGGATTATTAATAATCCTTTCAAGGAAAGAGTGTCAAAGAGAAGAATTGCAAACCAGTCTGGACATGGATGGAAGTCGAACAATGCCAGAAACTTTCCTGAGCTTTCTTGAGAAGCTATAAAAACAGTTAGGCAGTATTTCAGTTTTTTTAAGTGGGGTTCTATGGAGAGGTTGTGAACAATGAGTATCTTACCTGTTGTAGGTCGATGGACCAGGGATCGTTACTGCCTAAAACAACTCTGAACTCAAGGATCTCATACAAAGTCAATTTGTTTGCCTGTTAGTATAATATTTTGTGTACATTTGGTTAAATTGTATCATTGGATGCACCTCTACAACTTGTTAACCTTTGGCTCACTGACTTTAGCAAACGCAAAAATGCAACTCGGTCAGTTTTCCAGATATCGAGTTACAACTTAAGGTGATAACTGAGAGTAATTTCCAACCCATGCTCTGAACACGATCTCACAACACTGCCTGACATTACTTTTAAGATTTGACAAAAATGGCTGCAACCCCTTCATTTTTCAAATTAAGAGTCTGAAACATGGTCACAAAAGGCGACAAATGGCAACTAGCTGTGGCACTTCCTGTGCAGCCTGGGGCACTTCTGGAAAAAAATGTTATAATACTTCTGGTAGAAAAAGTGTGAAATTTTAAAAGCTTTATGAAATAGCATTTGCATAATTTAAATTAATTTTATGGGATTGGAAATGTTTTGATACAACAGTAATCCACTTGTTCCTGGCACCACTCAGACGAGCTACTAGCTTGTGAATCCTGTCAGAATTACATTTGTTTCTTCAAATTGATGAGCTATTACATCTTTGGGTTCATTTACTGAAGCTATCTACACCAATCAATTGATACTAAGCTTTGACACCGTTATTTCTTCTAAACTGTATTTATTGATCATTTTTACTATTATTATTCTTGCAGTCTATCAAGGAAGTGACAGGCTACATTCTGTTTGCCGTCAACGAGTTCAGCCGCCTCCCTCTGGACAACCTGCGCGTCATCAGAGGCAACACTCTCTACGACAACCGCTATGCCTTGGCTGTGATGGTCAACTACCAGAGGGAGGGTCAAAACGGCCTGCGAGAGCTCGGTCTGACACACCTTACAGGTACGCAGCTCAAGTATGGTATGTGTTTAACGTGTGGGAGGCTGAGCTGAAGCAGATAAGAGCTCCGACTGGATGTGACAATCTGTTACTGTTTGGAGCTCCTTCCACCCACACAGTGAAGTCCACACCCTTCAGAGTACCGGTTGTCTGAGCACAGCCATGTGTGTGTGTGTGTGTGTATGTGTGTGTGTGTGTGTGTGTGCGCGCTCGCTGTGAAAAACCCTGGAATGTGACACGAGCCCAACCGCTCAACTGCCAGTGTAACATGAGCTCCGTCCCATTGCGATGTGTTTTTGTACGCRGTGTAGTAAATAGTGAGCGGCAGTGATTCACGGAATGAGTCACAGGCTTGTCCAGGCTTGCTTGACTTAATTGTCATTTTCCCCGATTTACATGTGTGCCACCTGCAGAGATTCTGGAAGGTGGCGTCAAGATCATCAAGAACCACTACCTGAGCTACGCCCCGCAGGTCAACTGGAAAGACATAGTGAAGGATGACACCATTCCCATCGAGATTGAAGCCAATGGTCCTAAAGGTGAACCCAAATTATTTGTTAAACACAAACTAGAAATGAAAGTGCAACTAAATACAGCACTGCTCTGCAAAACACAAACAGACAAACAGCATAAAACCCAACAGCATGGACCATCCTCTAGTTGATGATTGCAAGATTTATGTGTCTAATTGTAGAATCTTTGTTGTTTTTTTATTATTCAACTAATAAAATAGGAACAAATTAGGTTTTGTGAAAGAAAGTACCTAAAGATCCAAATTCAAATGGATTCTTTGGTAAGTTTTCTGTCATGATTCGACATGGGTTCATATGTTGRGTTTAGGAGCCATTTGATGTCTGAMTGACTCACAGCTCAGAGTTAAGAGCTTTAACCAACAAGATKTGTGTTTATGACAGTTTCCAGTATTTTGGGCGTCAATTCAAATTGCATCTGCTRACGTTTGTGTGCTCTTGCAGGGATCTGTAGTGAAGAGTGTGGAGACGTGCCATGTTGGGGACCAGGAATTAACCAGTGCCAGATATGTGAGTGACATCTCAGATTTTGTTTTTAATTCCTCTGTTTTCCAGCGTGATTCCAAGGAATTTCCAACACAGCCTGCTGTCTGTGCTTTAGCAAAGCTTGAAAAACAAGTCAAGCTTTCACTGAAGCAGTTGATCTTCAAAATACACATCTAGTGTTATTTATTAACTGTATTAGGTCTACACGCTGTTCTTTTGTAATAACTTTGTATCTTATTGTCTTTGTTACAGTGACAAAGACTGTGTGCGCTCCTCAGTGTAACGGCCGGTGCTTCGGCAGAAACCCGAACGAGTGTTGCCACGGTGAATGTGTTGGAGGCTGCACAGGTCCCCTGGATACAGACTGCTTTGTGAGTCCGAAGTTCGGCCATTTTCTTTCATACTAAATGAGTGCATGATTTTATCAATCCTGAACCTCCATATTTAACTCTTCTAGTCTTGTTTAAAATGTTTTTTTAATGGCAAATGTTTCATTTTATGCAGATGATACCCCGATAAACTGCACATCCAGATTTTTTTTCTAAATGTAGTGAGTAGTTTGTGACTTTTTACAGGCTTGCAAGAACTTCAACAACTCAGGCTCATGTGTGACCCAGTGTCCCCAGGCTCTGATTTACAACAAACATGCATTCAAAATGGAGCCCAATCCCAACGCCAAGTACCAGTTTGGCTCCATCTGTGTGTCCCAATGCCGCGGTGAGCCCCTAACACATGCTGTCTTATTCCCATTCCCCRCTCCGAGTTTACACACAGCCACTGTTATTCGTACACGATCGCAGTGTTTATCTTTGCATTTAATAAAGCTCCAGTTGTTACGCTGCTGGAGCTGTTGACTCTGGGTTTTATTGTGCTCTCTGATACGCTGGATGTTTTTTTACACCTCTTTCTCTCCTTCAACAGAAAACTTTGTGGTGGACGACAGCTCCTGTGTGAGCAAGTGCCCGCCGGACAAAAAGGAGGTGGAGAAAAACGGCGTGAAACGATGTGAGCTGTGCGGAGGCCTCTGCCCAAAAGGTATTCATCTAGATTTAAAAGCAACCTTCTTCGACCAGAACAAGAATTAAACATAACAAAAGCACAGTTCTGAGCACTTAACATAGACGGTTATCTGTTCACATGAAGGAATCTCTCTTTTAAGAAACACCTTTAGAAATTTTCATTCTGACAGGCTTCTAGATAATTGTTGTTCATAAATTTTTCTTGATTATATTTGTGACCTGTTTTCCCTGTTATTTTGGTCTCTGTTAAGCACTTTGTGACGTTCATGTCTGTGAAAGATGCTATAAAGTTTACTTACTTATTTAATTATGAAAAGTTCAAAAACCTCTGGCTTAACCTTTGTTTCTTTTGTTATTTTCCTCCCAGCTTGTCCCGGTACAGGAGGTCCAGTGGGAGAAACCGTTGATGCTAGTAACATTGACAGTTTCATAAACTGCACTAAGATTCAGGGCAGTCTTGAATTCCTGGTGACGGGGATCGAAGGGTAAGAGCAAAAAAATTTTTCTGGTCTAATCTGGATCTACTGTAAGGGCAACCTTTGAATCAATGCAAAGAGGGACTTGAGTGGAAAAAAAGGCAAACATTTAACATTAAAGAAAAATCTAATTGAAACCGGGGAGAGAAGAAATGTGGAATCATATTTTTGCCTTTAAAAACAATAAAACTAGTGTTTTAGAGGTGTAATTTTGTATTTGACCTTTGTTTTGTCTTTATGTTTGCTCACAGTGATCCTTACAATAAAATCCCAGCCCTTGACCCAGAAAAKCTCAAAGTCTTCAGCACCGTGGAGGAGATTACAGGTAAGCATGATTTTTTTTGCAGAATCTTTATTTTTCGCATCATTGCAGTCAAACAAACAAACAAAAAAAAMCCTTCATTTTCAGATTTCCTCAATATTCAATCATGGCCGAAAAGCCTGTCAGACCTGTCTGTCTTTTCCAACCTTCGAACCATTCAAGGCAGAACTCTTTACAAGTGAGTCTGTTTGTTCACTTCATTGTTTGTGTCCTTCCAGATGCTGTAATACGATCTGTCGTATTCAGTGAATCTGCAGTAATGTGAAACTGATTGTTTTTTTTTTATTTCCTTATGTGATTTTTTTTTACCATCTTTAGGGGATCAAAGTCTAAAAGGTACAGTAAAGTGAAGTGTCCTGTTTAATTAATCATGCAGGTGTTGAAGCTGTGGGGTTGCATGATTAAGTTGGTGGTGGACTTGAAGCTTATTTTTCATGGGTTTGTTTGATTTTTATTCAGTGTTTTGGTGACAAACAGAGGAATTTGAGAGCTTGATTAAAATTTTCTGGATGCAAAGTTATTGCRCTATTTGTGGATCTGTTGTACTGAAATCTGTTGCCCTCTAAATATACAGTTTTCTTTTTTTATGAATTTCTCATCTTTAGCCACAAGCTATTTCAAAAGCTTCTTATAATTAGAGTACTTTTAATAAGTCTAAATGGTCCCAAAACCTTAAAGAATTTTAATTCAATTCAATTCAGTTTATTTATATAGCGCCAAGTCACAACATACGTTGTCTCAGAGTACATAAAAAAGAACAATTAAAGAAGAAGAAGTCAGCARATTGTGTTGAATCACTTCATCACAGTCTCCCATCCTGAGCAAACGATGGAAATGCAGTTTTTTTAAGTGTTTTTCTAAGAGCAGTAAGTATAWTACTTGCTGTAGATAACTTTCTGAATGAGCTCAATTTTGAAAGAAAAAAAAAAGTCTGGACTAAAATGCCACTTAACGGCTTTTCAGACCAAAGCAGCTTTTTGCCATCTTAAAACAACTCAAATGTTAAAAGAATTTCATCTTCATTCAAACAAAGGTTGTTTCATAAAACTTTACATTCCAACACTTTAAATGATTTACATGGAAATTATTCATGCTTTTGAAATGGCTAAATCTGAAATGAGAAGTTTTGTGTAAAAAAAAAAAGTAGAAAACATGATTCTCAAACTCCAGAACTCTGATCCCCCCCCCCCTCCATCCCCACATAAATACTTATGCCKTATGCTTTCACATGCACAGTTCTGTCAACTAGGCACACAAAGCTTTCATGCATTTCCAGTAAAWATCTGACTTCCTCATCTCTTGTTTCAGGGGCTACTCCCTTCTAGTGATGAGGACCAAACCTCTCACCTCCCTCGGGCTGCGCTCGCTGCAGAGAATAAACGACGGCAGCATCTACATCGCCAATAACAAGAAGCTCTGCTTCCTCGACACCATGAACTGGACACGCATCTTAAACAACAGCTCCCGTGCGCAAAAACGAAGCAAGCTAGTCGAAATCAGGGACAACCGGCCTCAAGAGGAGTGTGGTGAGTGGCGAAAACATACAGTATATGGCAGGTGATGAAAAAAGCTTGTTTAGTTCATGTGAATATTAAAGAAAATACATTCTACCTTTGTTTTAATTACACCTCAATGGCTCATTTGTAATTCTGCACATTTTACAGCTTGATTTCTGTGTTCACACCTGCTGAGCTTAAACTCTGAAGAGAACYCGTGACCACACCTTTTCTTTTTATAGTAAAGACCAGAACGCCTTGTGATGCAGCAACACCTTAATTAGTCTTTTTATTATGTTGTTTGTGCAGAAAAAGACAACTTTGTGTGTGACCCTTTGTGCTCAACCGACGGCTGCTGGGGTCCCGGAGTGAATCAGTGTGTTTCCTGCAAGAAATACAGCCGAGGAGGGACGTGTGTGGACGACTGCCTCTTCTTAAAGGGGTGAGTAATCACAAAGTCACATAAAATTTAGCCCATTTAAGGAAAAACTTTTGTGACATAGCTACCTTGAGTATTTCAGTGTCGCCTCCAGTCTGAGTGACTTTTCTTGCCCTGAATGTAGAGACAGGAGGGAGTTTGCCACGCCGTCAGGGGAGTGTATGCCCTGCCACCTGGAGTGTAAGGTCCAAGCTGGGGTGGAGACCTGCAGGGGCCCGGTAAGATTGTCTCTTTTTGACTAACTACAAATAAAATAATAAAACTCACCAAGTTAAAGCTGAAGATAACTTTGAGCTTTGGCTCACTTCTGCCCCATAGTGGCAGACATCAAACAGGTTTATAGTTCGCCTTCATTTATATAGTTTAATGTCTTCTCTCGTGCAGGGAGCAGATCAGTGTGTTGCCTGTGCCAGCCTGCAGGACGGTCCACACTGTGTCTCCTCGTGTCCTGACGGTGTCATGGGTGGAGAGGGAGTCATCTTTAAATACCCCAACAAACAAGGCAGATGTGAGCCGTGCCATGTTAACTGCACCACAGGGTGAGAAATGCAGCTGCAGTCTTTGGTGACACACTTTGTCTTTTTGTTCTCTTTTTAACCGAGTTTTCATTCGTTCTATGTGCAGGTGCACAGGCCCAGGAAAGGGAGACTGTTTGGGGACTTCTCGTTATCTTTCTGGGTAAACAAACGTCTCATGCATATTTTATGTCGTTCTGACATTTTGGTTTTCCTTAAGTGCTTAATGTCTGACACTGCTTTTTGCCTCTGTCATTAGACAACCAACCACGTTCATCGTGCTGGGGGTGATTTTCTTGATCTTCTGCGCATTCTCCATTTTTGTGCTGACTGTTCTGTACCGTCGAGGTCTCGCCATTCGTCGCAAACGAGCCATGAGGAGATACATGGAGAGCGGGGAGGCAAGTCAGCCTCTCTAGTTTCTGCTTGTTGTTATGATTTATTGTGGGCATTACTAACATACTGTATGTTTTGTGTGCCTTCAGACCTTTGAACCTTTGGAAGAGAAAGAAAAAGTCCACGCTCGCATCTTGAAACCTTCAGACATACGTAAGATCAAGCTGCTGGGTAATGGAGTATTTGGATCTGTGCATAAGGTAATAAGAATCGACGTTACAGTGCTGATTTTTCTTCTTTTTGTTTTTCATGTATCAATTCATCAATCTGTCTCTTTGCTTCTTTTTTCTTTTTTTTACTTTTCAGGGCATCTGGGTTCCTGAGGGAGACACAGTGAAGTTACCTGTTGCCATAAAGACGATTCAGGATCGCACTGGTCGACAGACCTTCTGCCAAGTGACAGATGTGAGTATGGTGTTAAAAATACACAGCCACAACATTTCTAACCACCTGGCAGGTGTTATGTAGGTCACAGTATTTTTTTTTGAGTTCTATCTTGTCCAGCATTAGGACATTTCAACAGATTGTTTTGGGTCATGTGGCCTGTAAAGTGGTTCTTGGACATCTCTGGCTCAATGTTAAAATGGATTTGGTCTTTTTGAACTTCAGATAAGGAGAAAACTTTAGGCTGTTCATTGTTTATCTGAACTGTTTTTGCTAAGTCAGTAGGGTATGGGGTTGTAGGGTGTAGTCTTAAGATGTGAAATGTTATTGTTGATGGTACAAAAGAACAAACACTCCACATTCATATATCACCTTTTACAACTAAGTGCTTTTCCACTGTGCTTTTCATTTATGAACTCCTACACTTTCTATAGTTCTAATTCTGAAGAGGTTAAGACATGCAGAATGTAAAGAAGAATGCATTGGTTTGCAAATTTCACAAAACCATGCATCAAAGTAAACATATCAAGGATTTTACTCAAAAATGCTACCATTTTTTTTAAAAGACATTGATGTAATTTTGAATTTAACGGCAGCAAAACATAGAAAAGCCATGGACAGGTGCAACAAAGGTTTGTAAATGTTAATGGTACAAATAAGAAACATCTGGAAGAGTATTTTGTAATTTATAAGGTTATAGTAATTGACAGCTGTTCAGTAAGAACACTTGATATAACAAAGCATTTTAGAAAGGCAGAATCAGAACTAAAAATGGGGAGAGGTTCATCTGTTTAAAAAAAACTGCATCTAAAACTGGAATAATTTCAGAAAGTTCCTCAATAAACGTTTATGAAGATACTGTCTTCTCATATGACATGCAAATATTCTCCATAAAATGCATGGTATGAAATCTAACGTAGATAATTTCCACAGCACATGATGACGATGGGAAGCCTGAACCACGTTAACGTTGCAAAGACATTGGGTATTTGTCCCGGGGACAGCCTGCAGCTCGTCACCCAGCTCAGCACTCATGGCTCCCTGCTGGAGCACGTGAGGAGCAACCGGAACAAGCTCAGCCCCCAGAGGCTGCTCAACTGGTGTGTTCAAATCGCAAAGGTAAGGCATTCACATCATGCATTTGACAGACGTTTTTAGGAGTGCACAGGCGTATTTGTCACGCTTCTGCTCAAGCCCAGTCAAATCTTTTTAATCATCGTCAGGGTATGAATTACCTGGAGGAGAACAGGATTGTTCACAGGAACCTGGCTGCCAGGAACGTGCTCCTGAACAATAATTTCACCGCGCAGATTTCAGATTACGGCATTGCGGACCTGCTCTACCCTGACGACAAGAAGTACTTTTATAATGAAGTCAAGGTTGTTTTTTCTACTTTGATTTTACCTTATTTTTAAGCACTTCCATTGTTTTTTTTTTACATTAACTCACATCCAACTGCTTTAACCGCAGACACCAATCAAGTGGATGGCCTTGGAGAGCATCTTGTTTCGCAGATACACACATCAGAGTGATGTCTGGAGTTATGGTAAGTTTTAAATACTGATGTTGGATAAACACCTATCGTGTTGAAACACTGAAATTAAGACGTGTACCTTTCAGTTTTCACCTCAGTTTGACTTTCTCACCTTCGTTTTAGGTGTGACCATTTGGGAGATGATGTCTTATGGGACAGAGCCATATGCAGCAATGCGTCCTCAGGAGGTTCCTGACCTGCTGGAAAAAGGCGAGCGTCTGTCCCAGCCTCAAATATGCACCATTGACGTCTACATGGTCATGGTGAAATGTAAGGAACTTTGTCTTCATTCACGTTAGGGGTTGTGTTAATTTTTGTAAAAACTGTGACAAATGCAGCCTCTTCTCCATTTTTTTTTTTATCAAGGTTGGATGATTGACGAGAATGTTCGTCCAACATTCAAGGAGCTGGCTGGTGAATTTACCAGAATGGCCAGAGATCCACCTCGCTACCTGGTGGTCAAAGTAAGAGATCCTGTGCTCTTATTAACTTGTTTAAGATGCTTCTTTAGTTTAAAATATTTATCTTTGGTCTGCTACCGTCTGGCAGGAGGACTGCAGCCAACAGGAAGCGGCCCCTGATGAAGTCGCTCAGCGGAGTGCAGACCTGGATGACCTGGATGATCTGGATAATGAGCTGGATGACCTGGTGGCAGAAGGGACGCTGGATGACTTGAATCCAGCACCCCATTACCTGTCCAGGAGTCTGAGTCGTATTTCCAGAATGGAGCCACAAAGAGTAAATATGGCCGTTTCTGTAGATTTCATGGCACATTTATGTTTTGAAGCATGTTTTTCTGCTTGCTTGTACCTACAGTACATCTCATTTATTCTTTTTGTGGTAAAGGTGGTCCTAAATCCATCAACCGGAGCTGGATACCTGCCCATGACTCCCGGGGTTGACCATACAGTACAGGTAGCTACAGCGAGTTTAGACCCTTTTTTGTACGTAAACTTGTCAAATTGCTGATTTAACGTTGCTTGTGTTTTCTTACCCAGGCCATGTGGCAGTCACGGTCTCGACTAAACTCTGCACACACCATGTCTGAGTGCTCCGAAGGATACGGCGCCGCACATGAGATGGACACGAATGAGGACTTCTCTGCGACAGGGAGCCTGAAACGAAGACGTCACCGCGAGGACAGTGCTTATGTGTCTCAGAGGGACAGCATATCTGGAGGGCCATCAGAGACTCCGTCGCCAGAGGTCGAGGAAGAAGATCAAAATGGATATGTGCTCCCTGGAGGCAGCCCAGAAAGAGGTGAAACCATAAGTTTAGGTTGAGTATTTAATAAACTTTATGTTTAATGTCAAAACAAGAAAAATCTTTATATCTTATAGTAAAGATAATGAAAATATCTAATTTCTAACCAGATTGATGGGTTTATGGTTGAACTAGGCTCCAATCCCAAATATTTATCAAAAGAAACTTCAAAAGACTAACAAAGTTCCATCTTGTTCTATATATAGCTATATATTTTTTATTCCAGATCCTCTACTGTTCTCATCTCGAGCCATGATGGTAAAGTCTCATTCGTCAGGTCTCTTGGATGACCCGGATGAAGAATACGAGTACATGAACAGGCAAACACCTGTTTCACTACGGCAAAACAATCCCTGGCCACAGTCGAACAAGAAGCGAAGCCTGTCTGTGTCGTCGCAAGCGATGGCCCGCTCCTGTGAAACCCCTCTTTCTGTGGTCGGCAGAGGTGGACAAACAACGAGCAACAGGGCTGACTCAAAGGAGCCAGTCGAATATGAATATATGGACATCAGAGGAAAGGAAAAAGACGGCGAGAGCCCGCCAGAACACGACCCTCCACCTCCTCCAATACTACCGAGGACGAGAAGAGAGGCGGACGACGAAGGGCAGGACGACTACGCGGAGGACGACAACTATCACTACACCAACCGCCAGCCGAAGCTGCGACAAGCTCTCAAAGACAAGAAGGAGCTGAGGGTCGAGAGCAGAGACAGCAGTGAGGAGTACGAATACGAGGAGATGGACTGCTTCGCCACCCTGCCGCCTGCTGATGCAGGGGTGTACCAGAACATGCAGGGGGAGAGAGCAGAGGGGGCAGCAGCGGCGCACCCATCAGCGTTCGAGCCACACGTGAGAGTGCGAGCTGGAGTCGGGGTTGGGGATCCTGTTGCTGGTGACAGGTCTTTCGACAACCCAGGGTACTGGCACAGCAGGATGTTCCTGAAGCCCAACGCAGTACCTACATGAAGAACAATTAGATCTCAGTCCTGGGACAAACTCATGAAGGACCTGAAATTAGACACAGGAAAGCAGCAGAATGTAGCCTATGCTTTTACACACACACACACACATCCACACACACAATCTGGTACAGCTATCTTTGTGGGGGCCTGGCTTTGACTTCCATTATTTTCTACAGCCTAACCCTGACCACCAACCCTAAAGCTAACCTCACAGGTACCAACATGACCCTAAAACTAACCTAAACTCGGTTCACACCTGGGTCCTAAAACCAACCCCCAACCCACCAATGACATTTCCTCTTAAGGGGACTAGACTCAGGTTCCCATAAGTACCAGTCAGGTCACGATAAGTAACATTAGGTCCCCACAAGTAGGTGTGTATGCCAAAAAAACTGTCCCACAACGTAGGGAGTACCAGTCCACACACACACACACACACACACACACACACACACACACACACACACACACACACACACACTAAACATAAAGATACACTGAAATAAAAACTTCTTGAAGAACATTTATATCACCAACTCAGGAAATGTGCAGATGTTTTTTATGTGTAAAATATTTTTGTCCACATTTTTTATTAATGTTGTAAATACTTCTTTTTTTTTTCAATTTATTCTTACAAATTGAAAAACAAAATGCATTATTGTACAGTACTTGCACCTTTGCTATCAGAGCAACAGTCCACAGTTTCTGAAGTGGGAATATGTGGAGAGAATACAAACAATGAATATCTTACCTGTTGTAGATAGCTCTTTGAACTATTTGAGTTTGGAAAAGAAAGTTAAATTCTGACATCTAGTCTGAGTGGGACCAATATTTGATTTACTGTTTTGTTAAAATAATTTTAACACACACCAAAAAAAACACTTATTGTAAAAACAGTATTTTATAAACTTTTACAGTGCTGTCAGCTTTGTGTGACCTGGTTATTTATATATAATTTCATGGTTATTTGCAATAAGTAGCACTTCTGGTGCAGACAAAAGGATTTCTATCTGGAATATTTATCAGGAATATCTTAGCAGTTTATAACATAGTATTTGCTTAAATCATTATAAATTAGTTTGAGATTTAAGTTGTTTTAAGACAGCTGAGATATGTTCTGGTCTTTGCTCCCCTCAAACTACATCTGAGGTCATCAGTCTGGTCAGAATTAAACTCTGGCTTTTTTAGACTGAGTTTGTTCAAAAAGCTACAGGTTCATATCGTTTCCACAGAAATCCACTTCATCTATTCATTTTTCTTTACCTGCTTCTCCTTTCTGAGCTGCGGTGGAGGTGGGACCCATCTCCAGCAGTCAGTGTGTGAGGATTTCACACTGAGGGGACAGCTCTAACCTCCGTGTCATCAAACTTCAAAATATCTAAATGTATCAAAGTATGGAAGCTCTTTCTTGTCAATTTGAAGTAAAAAAGGGTATTGAAAGTATGATTATAAGTAAATTCAAAGTTTATTAAAATCATCATGACAAATGTTCTCATAATAATGTTCTTTACTGTCACACTTACGAATATTTTGTCAGTAGCACCAATGAAGCAGGCTAACAACCATTTTTGTTCAAAACTACTTTTTTTCAATATGTGGTGCTTGCTCTTACCCAACAGCTAGCTGTGAGCATAGTTGATGAT